CACACACACACACACACACACACACACACACACACACACACACACACACACACACACACGCATGCAGCTATGGTAGTTGAATTTGGGTCAAAACCTTTCTTGAACTGTATCAGGGCAGTGTCTTGGGGAGAGTTAAACAAGCATTGACGTGGCTGTTGCTGCTCATAGATGGACTCAGACATATTCCCTTGTGGATGTGTGTGTGTATTCTACGCAACAAGCATTATGTAATCGTAGGGCTTTATATAATTTGCTTTCAGCTCATTTTTTTTCCGCACAATTACCAGTTTTATTGTTACAATTTTAATTGATGGACACAAATTTTAATTGATAGATGTTTTTAATTATTTTAAAATCACTAATCTTCTCATGTTTCCATGAATTTTTTATGCACATACTCTGGGTATACATGTACATATGTACTGGTGGGCATGTAGTCTGCTTGACTTTTATACTGAAAACAGTCAGTGACTCCTTGGTGATGACCGGTTGAGAGCAAGAAATGTGTAGCAATGATAAGTAGAACAGTAATGAGACTTGAAAAACTGGAAATGGAGAACATTAGCCTTGAAAGTAAAAGCTCTGCCTCACTACTGAATTTTAAAAACTTGTCATATATCATTTGAAGGCGAACACTTTCTAGTTCCAGGTTGCGGTGCACCTTTCACAGTTTCACTACTGGTCAGCAAGTAGTTGCTGAGTGTTTGCAGACAAATGAGCATCTTTCTTGCAAACTACTGCTAGCAACAAAATACCAGGGACGTTATGACCACTTTTATCTTGCAACTGCTGGAAATCTTCAGCAAACAATTGCATAGATGACTTGCCCATGTAACTGGTGTCTATGTAACTACAGTCACACTAGGGAAAATTATTGGGACTGTGTTTGATGAACATTTAATTTCATTGCCTTTTAAATCTTTCTTTCAAAGTCAGATCTGCAGCCATTTACAGTCAATCGCTGTCTTTAAAGCAACTTTAGATGCTGAGATGTTGCTATCAATCTGCAATTACATTGGGTCAATTTGACAATTACATCCAACCTATTTGTGATAAAGCCGAAAGCCGCAAATCTGTTGCCATCTGCATACACAGAAATTCAATTAAAAAGAAATACAACTATTTTACTGTCTCCATATTTAGAATCCTGCCAGAACTTCACAGGTCTGGAACAGAAATTTCAATTTAAAAAGTCCCCACAAATAGTGAACTACTTCCTGCACAGAAAAGTACTGGCATAGGAGTTTGACAACCTTGCTTTCTTATAGGAACATAACCAGAATGCATTGAATTGGTAACCAGTTGATTTAAGTTCTATTGCAAAGATATCAGTGGATATCAGAGTGACTCAGATTAATTGCAACATTTTGGCAATCAATATGGATTTATGAATTTAATGTCTGTTGCAAATCTGTGCAATCGCCTTGCAGTAGAATGTTTTTAACAGAACATTTTGAAAATGGCTGTTGTATGCAAAAAAGTGAAAGCAATCCCCCACAATAAAATGTTTTTCATAAGCTGAAGTCTTATTTTTACTCTAGTGTGACCGAGCCATAAAGCAAGTGAGTTATTTATATGTGATGTGACACATAATGTATTAACTGGTAGTGTTGGCTCTTTATGTAGATACAACAAATAAACAAGAATGTATTTGTTGTTTGAAATTTGTATCATTCAATTGCCAATATTAGAAATAATAAAAAGGTTACATCATGTGAATTCAGTTTGACTGTATCGCCCACGTCTGCCTGCCATTTATTAGGATGCATGTTATGGTTTAATGGTCCCAAGCATAGCTAAGAAATCAATAAGTGTTGATCCAGTTTATTAAAGTTTACGTTTTTTATTGTGTTCTTTTCCTCAGCAATATATGAACAGTCATGTGAGGCATACAAACACAAAGGCAACATGTCAGGGCATTACTATATAGACGTGGATGGCAGCGGACCAATCAAACCCCAGCTGATTTATTGTAACATGACAGGTATGGTACACAAACGTATTCTGTTTCCTTTTAAAGAAAATGTGCATTGTTTTTGTTTGTTTCTTTAGTTTGAAAGATTGTTTGGCTGCCAGCGTAACTATGTTCACACCTTCTCTTGGTCTTTCCACCCTGCCTGTCTCTCCACCAGAGGATAAGACGTGGATGGTGATTCAGCACAATAACACAGAGCTGACCAGAGTTCAGTCCTCCGCTGAGCGAAACCAACATTTTGCCTACTTTGACTATTCCTCTGAAGAGGAGCAATTAGTGGCTGTCATCAGCCAATCAGAGCACTGCGAGCAGGAACTGTCCTATCACTGCAGGAAGTCCCGCCTCTCCAACACACTTGGTAACATCTGGAGAAATAGTTGTTAGTTATTATGTGTTAAATTGATCAACTTTTTAACATAAGATATTCAGAAGAAGGGAGGTGGTGTGAACTGCTGATGTATTTAATTTAGTAAGAAATTAGAAATCATATTACAATACTGCTGCACATTTGTTACTGATTTTGCAACACAAATTAAGTGGATTTGTTTGATTTTATAATGAAGATTTAACTATCCATCTATCCATCCATCGATTCTCTTCTAACATAGGGCGAGAGGCGTGGTACACCCTGGACACATTCACACCTACGGCCAATTTAGAATCACCAGTAGAATCACCACTGACTGCACTGACTGACTGAGTGCTAATCACTGTGCCAAAGATAGAAAAGAAATGATAAAAAATAAACAAATGAAAACAGATGAATGATAAATTCTCTACTGGGGATGTTTCCCTTCCACGCTATCATTATCTTTATAGGAATCACCGTCTTCATACCATTTCAAAATGACTGTGAAATTGATTGCATTTGCAGTCTAACTCTTCCCTGTAGTGAAAAATAAATTAATGATTAATCACGTCTTTATCTATGTGTTTGTGTGTGTGTGTGTGTGTGTGTGTGTGTGTGTGTGTGTGCTCAAGAGGGGGCTCCTTTCAGCTGGTGGGTGGGAGGCGCCGGACCAGGTCAGAGCCAAACATCTTGGGGTGGAGCCCTGACCGGTACCCAGCAGTGTGGTTGCAGTCTGCAGGACAGCTGTCTGGATCCAAGTCACGACTGCAACTGTGATGCCGACTACGACCAATGGTACTGTACTTTGAAACTGCAAATGTGAACTATTATGGTATCACTCCAGGCTGTAAGTTCTATTTAAATCTGGGTTTTTGATTCTTTGTGTTGTAAAAGAAAATAGCTTTTGTTACCATATCATGGAAAGCGGGCAGAGTGTGTCACTCCATTTTGAAAACACATGCATGTCTCTGAGATTCTTTTACAAACTGATTTGGTTGCTTCCCATGACATCCTGCCACACTGAACAGCAAAGAGCCATAAAACAACAAATCCCAAGATATTTAAATGTCTCTTCCTTTTTGTTATCCACTCCTTTTTTATTCAGATCCTTTTATCCATCCTGTAAGCAATTCTGTATTTAGGTCACCTTCTCCAATCCTGTGACCAGTTCTGCAGTTAGACCCATGTTGTAACCCATAGGTGTCAAACTCTGGCCCGTGGGCCAAATTTGGCCCGCAGCCTAATTACATTTGGCCCGCGAAGCCATACCAAATTACTATTAGAGCTGGCCTACTGGTATTATACAGCTAATATATATATTGTTTAGTATTAAGCTTTGCTTGTTCCATATTCAGTTTTTCAGCAAAATTTGTTTTAGTCCATAAGAAAAGATTCATTCTTAAATCTGGAGGAATAAATATATTTCAATAAATATTAATGTTAGCCCGCGACTTTGTTCCAGTTTTGAATTTTGGGCCACTGTGTATTTGAGTTTGACACCCCTGTTGTAACCAATCCTGTTGGTGCCTGCATAGCCAAAGGTCCTTCATTCTATTATCTCTTAGCCTAAATCTGTACTGGGGAACTCTATTTTTATAGACTCTTCTCCTGCCATCAATATCCCATCAGATACACGGGCGCTGGATGCTGCCTAAAGTCCCAGATTCATTTTTTGACTACATTTCACAGCAACAAAGCAGACTGCTGGAATTTGAAGCGCCACAGAGCCGAGCTCGTGTGGTGAAGTTACAGATTAATCACTCGACCTGCGTTCGTTCAGAGACGGTTTTCACAAGACATTGTTTCAGACATGTTGTGTCAGCTTTTCTCAACATCCACCAGTGAGCCTCTGAGAGCAGACAAGCGCAGTCGAGAAATGAGGAGTTACTAATCTAAATACGGCCTGTCCTATTTTTTCAGACACAGTTTTGTTTGAGTTTTAATGGTGACAAGTTTTACCTTTGCTTTGCATGCATGATTATTCAGCTTTCTAATACCAATGCTTTCTCACCTTCCACACTCTCTTCCTATTCTTTCTTGCATTTCTTTGCCTTTTATGCAACCCTCCTCCTCTGTCCCCTCTTGTACCTCAGGACTGAGGACTCAGGCCTGCTTACCCATAAGGAGACCCTCCCAGTAAGGTCTCTGGTGCTGGGAGACATCCATCGGCCTGGGTCAGAGGCTGCCTATAGGGTCGGACCGCTACGTTGTCATGGAGACAGTAAATCCATTTAAATTGGTTATGGTTTAGCACAATGGGGGATGATGTTAAATATTGAGACCTCAGTTCTCTCCATATGAATATCATACATATTGATGATGTTTTGATGGAGTACTCAAGAAGTAGGTTTTATTCAACCACAGAGTGAAGAGAATTCAAGTAATTAGTGTATCCAATCACCCACCATTTAACTTGTTAATGGGAAAAGAGTCTGCACAAGCTAATTAGTAGCTAAAATATGACTTTATTTTTACTCTTTAATAACAACTAACACAAAGATATATAACAAACTAATGTAAGTGATAGATTTTACCTTGTGTTAATTGCTTCTAATTTTACCACTTAGTTTAATGACTACATAAATAAATGGCTTACTGATAAATCAGCCTAAATGAGATAGCATAGCTGGAGTTATGCCTTTATTCTTAGTTAATTAGCTGAACAGTTGGTTCATTTGTTTACCATGCGATTTTCATTATATAGCCATCATAATGAGTTTTCTTTTAATAAGCTTTGTTCCAAAGTGATATATCAAGTTTTTATAAGAAAGTTTTACATCCCTTTTTTATGAGCAAACATAAAGATATGGTATGACACATTTAAGAAGTGATTTTCTTTTTCTTTGCAGAGAACTTCTGGAATGCTGCATTTTTTGATAAGGAAACATCCTACCTTCACTTCCCAACCTTTCAGGGAGAGTTGAATGCAGACATCTCTTTCCTGTTTAAAACGACATCGTCCTCTGGGGTTTTCCTGGAGAATTTGGGCATCAAGGACTTTATCAGGATAGAACTCAGCTGTAAGTGAGAACTTAATGTCCTGGATAATTGTTATTGAATGCTCAATGCTTTCTTGATTTATTCTAAATAACTGATAATGACAGTTTATAAGAGGGATTATTGCATTTCTGCTTCTATTTTGAGATTAACTGTGCAGTTTGTTTCACGTTAACTTGGCAGAGGGGAAGAGTTTCTCAGTGTTTACGAATGTTTTTATTTGTTCAGATACTGCTAACTTCAGCCTCTAGCCACAGATGCCTACAGACTACTGAGTGACTCCCTGGCAACTGCAACTCGCTAGGGAAAATAAGTCGACTTGAATCCTCCTTAAATTGGTTGCAAGAAGATTGCGACAGTCTCCTGTATTTTCCAGTTTGTGTCAAAGGTTTTCAGGTCGTACTACTGCTCAGCTCTTTATAGAGCAAACATGTGCATAGAAGTCAGTAGCCGCATGCAAACTACAGGCTGCCAATTATGATGATTACATTGTCCCATGTTTTTGTTGATCTTCTTGCAGTTGACAGTCCAGTCAAGGCAAATAACAAAAATCACAGCAGCAGTTCCTCAAAAGCCTATTACAGTACAAGAGCTGGCTAAAAAAATATCTGTTCGTATATATCAGGAAGTTCCAACTAATTGGCCTGTAATTGCAATATTTTTCCACCCAACTGAATAAAAAAAATCTGAAAATTAAAATTAGATTACAGAGTGATTCCCAGTGAGCCTAGCAATGTATTACTGAACATTAGAATTATCATTACTTTTGATTTCAAATTAGGCTTGGTTGTAACAGTCTCAGCACACATGCAGTTTCCCACACACAGACACACACAGGAACAAACAGATGTGAGTCTTTTTTTCCTGCCCTCGGCTGGTCTCTAAATCATCTCAGATCTGCGTCCAGCTGTCTGTCCATGCTGCCAACAGATGGGCCGGTGGGAGGAAGTCACTTCACACTTCTGCCAACATATGATGATGGACGAACATGACTGACTAATGGGTTTGCTGAAAGACGGCGCATTCTGCAGCCAGACTGCAGGGAGAAAGAAGTCTATTAAAAATATCACTGAAAAAAGCCACAAAAGAGTCTGATACACTTTAGCTGCTAATAGAAAAACATGAGTGAAAAAAGAGCTTTCTTGCAAGTCAAAGCTTGTTTTCTCAACTGTGTTTGGATTTTTCTTTCTTTCCTCTTTTTGAATACAAAGCAAGAATCTGACTCCTTGCAGTCATTCTACTCTGCCCACATGCTTAACTAATACAGTTTGAAATTAGTGTAATTATTTGATTTGGCTATAATTTAATTTTAAAAAAACATAGCATGCATGTGCTCTTCAGTTCATTTTTCCAGTTACAGCAATATCAGACGACTCTGGCACCATCTGATCTACATTAGCTTTAGATTTGAATATACGTACACTATCATGTGCTTTATACTGATTTAAGCCAGAGCTTCATCCTCCCGCTCCAACTACTACCAGCTTTGCCTCTACTGGACAGCCAACAATGTGGCAGAAGAAGATGACAGTAAGGGCGTATCAGACCGGAAATGAAGCATGGTCTGGCACTGGCACTTATCATACACTGGCTCTACATTTTGTGCAGTTTTTGTCATCCATAAATAAATGATCAATGATAAACCTCTTAACTTCTTAAGCCTTAACTTCAAGAGTGTCATCAGCTTTGGACACAGTGTGATTATGGACTGATTCTTTGGAGTATCGTGGTTTGCAGTGAAAATAAGCACCCCTTTGATCATTTTCAATCAAGATTTCCATGAATCAGATGTGGTCTGCTGATGTGAAGGCTTCTTCACCTAATGTTTGTTTTTAAGGCTTTTATATGATCTTTTTATCTGTGAATAATCCTCTTCAGCTTCTATGGAGGTTGTCTTCTCCTTCGATGTGGGGAATGGGCCACTGGATGTACGAGTGAAGACAAGCTTCCCGTTGAATGACAGCCGATGGCACAGAGTGCAAGCTGAGCGAAATGTGAAGGAAGCATCGCTGCGTGTCGATAATTTCCCCGCCGCCACCCACGAAGCTCCCACTGATGGACTCATGCATCTTCAGCTAAACAGCCAGTTATTTATAGGTGAGGAGCAAAAGTTGACTTTTTTTTTTCAAAAAGTTTAAGAAACCTGAGGAACATTTAAAGTGAGAACATGGGATTTTTAGATTAAAATAAGTCAGGGTTAATTTAAGGTTATCAAGATTAGCCACTTTGTTAAGAAAAAATATCGTCTCGATTTGAATTTGATGGCAACAACGCATCTCAAAAGTCTCAAAAGGCCAGAAGGGCAAGTTAAACTAAAAAGAAACAGCTGACAATAGCTCAGCAACAGGAGTGGAGATTTAAGAAAAGCAACTTAGAGAGGCAGAATTTCTCAGCAGCAAAGGTGGGCAGATGGAACAACTTCAGAATAATGGCTCACGCTGTAAAGTTGTACTACAGATGTTGTTGAGAAGTAGTCACAACTGTTAGCTGCTAGAATACAATATCAGACAAAAACATCCCATATGGAAAAGAAATAGTAAAAACTTATATGTGATTACTCATGAAAGTGGCCACTTTCTCATTACTTTCATATATTGTTTTAGTAAGTATCCAAAACATACAAGTTTCATTATATAATCTTTCAAGGGATCTTATATGTGTTTTCACTCTTATATGCTTTTCATACAAGTTTCACACAAGACAGATACAAACTTTATAAGATTTATATATATCTTTTCCATATGGGATGACACTGTTCCTTTCCCACAATTCCAGGAGCTGGTCTCCTCAGGCTGAATTTAAAAGAGGATGCTGCCATCAAATTCAAAATGACCTCAAATGGGATTTTTCTTAAAATTATGTTTTTCACTTTAAACATTTGTTTAAAATGTTTTCTGTGTTATGTTTTGAATAAAATATGGGTTAATGCGATTTGCAAACCATTTGCAAACCATCATTCTGTTTTTTTATTTATATTTTACACAGTGTTACACAGAATTGGATATGGACAAACACGCATGCAAATGTGCCCACATGCAAAGACAACCTGATAAAAACAGAATTTAATTCTTGCAGTTTCTACCCAACCACACAAGTCCCACATGGACACCTGTTGGAGGTGGTCGACTGATTATCTGCATAGTGTATGTAAAATAAGAGCAAACCTTACTGTTAGAGTCCAATCCAGTTGGTGTTTAGGTATTTGGAAAGTGGTGAGGAGTGATTAGAAGAGCTGATGATTTTGACTTTACCAAGAAAGAATTCTGCTATACTGTATGCAGGACGTGCTGAATTCAGTTTTTCTAAACAGTAATTACTCTGGATAAGTAATGTCCATTTGTGTGTGCTAAAAAAGTGTAATATTTGGTGTGTGTGTGATTATAACCATCACAAACCAACTGTGCATTCTGCTAGGAAAATGGGAAGTAAGTGCAGCCAGTTATTAAAATTTGCAAAAAATACCTAGAAATATAGTAAATACACCAAAATTACTACATTTCTAATGAGCTTGAAACTCAGTATTTGGTACGACCACTTTTATTCATCAGCATAGTCTGAACTAACCTAGACAAACTTTCTTGTAATTGTCTTCAAAGCTTGTCTTTAGATGTTGGCTGCTTTTTCTTCTGTTCATTGTCATGAGGTCCCACACTGCTTTTATCAATTTTGACAAAATCTCAAACACCACTGGCTGAAATGTAGTAAATAAAGTAACAAAGTCTCTAATTTAATTTAATTTAGAATTGGTTATTTGCTAAGTTGCCTGTTATATGTAGAGACGACACTTACTCATTCTTTCTGTTAGTTGCATTTTTTTATGGTTGATTAAGTCATGACTCAGTGGTAAGTGGCTAAACGAAAAACAAACTGAAAGAATATTGATGTGAAAATGGTCATAAGCGAGGACTGGACTGAGAATGTGTGAAAAAGCAACCAATATACAAAGAAAAACTTTGGAACCCTTCAGATAGTCTATTCTATTGATCAAGACCACTTACAAAAATTCCATGAGCCTGGCTTATTTGAAACAATTTATCTATAATACTGTAGAAGATCAATAATACTAGGTGTAAGAGTTTTATAAGCACAAAAGAAATGACATTTTTGTAACCTGGAGATAGAAGTCTGTGAGGAGGTTGGCTTCTACAGACACCTCTATGATGCATCAGTGCAGGAAATTGGATACCAAAAGAGACTGGTGAAATACCTAAAAGATACAGCCTTCTGCAAAAGAGTGTGAAGTCTCTGAAATTTCAATAATTTCCTGTTTTCACTTTTTCACTTTTTCTCTTATATTTTTTCTGAGCTGTGGCTCCAATAATTGAGATATATCATTATTATTCCCAGAGTTTAAGTTCACCACATTTGTTAGACAGCTGAAGATGTTTTAGACATCACTGACAAAAGCAGTGTTACATGGAAAGTAAATGCAAACAAAGAGCCAAAATGGAAAGTTAAGTTTAAAGGAATAAAGCAACTGCCATAGCCCTAGTGAGTTAAAAGCCATGGTATGGGGATACAGGGTTGTGAGTTCAACTTCACTATCTCCACCCATGCCTGATTACTGCCAGACCTGCTGAAAGCTGTCCGACAAACTGAAGATCTCAGAAAGCAACACACTGTGCTGCAATCTAAAGAAACAGTAAGAAACAGAATGAACAAAAATGGCATCCATGGGAGAGTTCCGAGGCAAAAACATCTGCTGACCAAAAAGAATCCAAAAATTCAAAAAACATCTTGATCTCCAAGACTTTGGGGAAAATACTCTGTGGACTGACAACAGAAAAGATTTGTGTCTTGTTACATCTGCCGTAAAACTAGTACAGCGTTTGATAAAAAGAACATCATAGCTCATCATAGCATTACTCTGCCTAGTATACACTAAGCTAGCCCTAGACACTAGCCCACTAACAAGCTAGCCCTAGACACTAGCCCACTAACAAGCTAGCTCTAGACACTAGCCCACTAACAAGCTAGCTCTAGACACTAGCCCAGTGTCTAGGGCTGCTTTGCTTCTTCAGGGCCTGGACAACTTGCCCTAATTGATTAAATTATGAATCCTGATGGAAAATGTTTGACTATCAGTTCATCCCTTGACGCTTAAGCACACTGAGGTTATGTGCTGTTATGATCTGAAATATAACAGCAAGTCCACCTCTGAATGGCTAATAAGAATGAAGGTTTTGAAACCCTAGTCAAAGTTTGGACTAAAATCCAATTAAGATGCTTTGGCATGAATTTAAACACTTTAAACAGACTTTAAACAGGCCGCTGATGCTGGAAAACACTCCAATGAGGCTGAATTAAAAACAATTCTGCAAAGAAGAGTGAGCCAAAATTCCTCCACAGGGAAGTGAAAGACTCATAGTCAGTTATCGCAGACTGCTGTTCTGTACCTCATATACAGACGCAAAGTTTGGGGGCTTTCATTGAAAATACCTTCCCTGTTCTTCTGCCTCGCTCTTGGGACAGCCAGAGGCAACTGGTAGGTGACCCATGGGACCTAAATGTTAAATCCGAATAAATCCTGAGAAGAAACCAAAACCAAACAGATGTATTGTCTGACTTTCATCATTACCCACTCTGTGGCCGTGTAACCAAACGTCGGTTAGTTTCCACTGAAACACAAATGAAAATGGGTCACACTTTTAAAGTTACATGTAAATTCAAATGGCAAATGAAGCTATGTGATGTTGTTTTTTTTTTTTGTTTTTTTTTTCGCCTGTCCCATTTGGTTCTTTAGCCATCAGAATTGTTGTCTGAAGACCAACAAGGATGCCCAATGGATTTACTTTGCCAAATGGATCATCGTGGCATTGCCGTATTGGTCCATTTGGTCGATCTTTGTTTTTATTATTCATTATATTTTATTTTCAGATGTTACCGACGGGACAGACATGAGTGAGAGATAGGAAAGGGAGAGAGAAAGAGGAAGGAAAGGAAAAACAGAAGGGGAGAGGGACAGATGTGATGTTGTTTTTAACGAACATTACCAAAACAACAGGAAACATTGACGCTGTCATTTGGTCTTCTAGTGAGTGTTTATACTACCAGGGGAGTGTTTGTGGGACTGAATCAAAATAAATCACTTGTGTTCAATGAAGGAGCATGTCGCCTGGTGTGACAATGCAGCTCTGTGTATTTTGAGGCATTAGCAGAGCTCAGCAGCACAGGGGAACGAGCGATGTCAGACTTTGGCTACATGCGTATACTTATTACCGTTTTTTCTTTTCATGAGATTTGTAAGAAGCAGCTTTATCCTTTAGAGGAGATAAACCTAACTGTATGAGCGACACTTACTCTTTTAAAAAATGTAATATTGCCTCTTTAACATTACAGTTTAAACTGACTGAGCTTTCTTTTATTAAATCAATAGCTTTTTGTCATTTTTAGGAGATGTTGCATACATTTTTCCACCATTTTCCTCTTAAATTCACCACTTCTGTTCCAAACACATCCAGATGCCTACACATTAATCTATCTGAACTGTGCTTGAAAATCAGTCTTGTACTGTAAGGCTTTGGCTTTGTTCAAATAACATTGGTTCATTTATTTTTGTAGGTATTACATTTTTTGAAGAGAAACAAAACCATTGAACAAAGTGTGATGAGACTGAGAGGCTGCAGAGAGATCGAAGTGGGAATTGAGTTGCTGGTAGTGTCAAGCTAATAATCCGCTCTGAACAGCTAAAAAAGAAACGAACATCAGTCGTTTTCTTTACTTGGGCGGGATTTACCGGCAACACATGGGGACTCATTTGTTTGAACAGAAATGTGATTAAAAGGATTTTGAAGGACAATACTTTTTAAGGTGTTTTTGTCTGTCTTGACTCTGTTTTTAGTAAAACGTCAGTGTTTGGGTGCCTTTGCGCTCTTTCTGCAGCTTTATTGTTAATCCAGTGTTCACAACACGCCCTCTGTGGAATCATAATTCACAGTACTGCAAAGACATCTGTATTACTATGAATAATGGATCTCATTTGTAATATATAAAATTGTGTAACTTAATAAGAAATTATGTTTACTGGTTTAAATAAATAAACCTTAATATTTCCTTGTTTTTATGCTTGCGGTTTATGAACAATACAATTCAGCAAAATTAAGCAGGATGTCACTATGGGTTATGTTTTGCATTATTGTTACTTGGCCTAGGATGTAGCTACATTAATCAATGCTTTAATAAATCATAGGTGAGCGTACTGGTACACGGCACATCTGACTTTAATGGTGCATACTGCTTCGGTGAAGGAGTATCGGGCTATTAAATCTCTGTAGCTTGATAATGAAGTGTTCATAACCCTGTTGGTCATGGTTGTGTAATAGTTTTTTTGTTTTCTGGTTGATTCTTTTAAGGCTATACAGAGGAAGGCAGCTTTGTATTTATATGGCAGATAATCAGTAAATTCACAGGACTTAAAGCTCGAAATATTTCTGTGTCTGAATTATACAGATGAGAACATATTTATGAGCCCCCCATGTCTTTTTTAAAAAGAAATTCCCAAATGCTGTTAAACCAAGCAGAGGAAACTTCAAATCCACCATCTGGCATGGGCCTTTCTGCGTGGAGTTTATATGTTCTCCCCGTGTCTGTGTGGGTACTCTGGCATGACACAGTCCCTTATAGATGGATGCCTAAAAAATCACCAGGGTAAAAATGATCAGTCCCCCTTCCTTCCTGCCATTCCATTTAAAATTCACTGTGGTTACACTGTGCACACTTTTTTTTGTGTTCCATATAATAATATTTCCACATATAGTAAAACCAACGTGTGCAGCAACCAGACAACATGAAATGTGCAGAGTTTGGCACCAAGCGCAGGTGGACAACTGGATGAAGTAGATAAATCCTCTTAATGCTCAGGACCTTAAGAAGGCCCTGATTGTGATTCCACCACCTGGCTGAGGCCTTTCTGTGTGAAGTTTGCATGCTCTCCCTGTGTCTGGGTGCTCCCGCTTCCTACCACAGTCCAAAGACGTGAATCTACATTTCCCAAAGATGTGATGGTTGTCTGTCTCTTTGCATTAGCCCTGCGACAGACTGGCGACCTGTCCAGCGTGTATCCTGCCTCTCGCCCTATGGTAGCTGGGATAGACTTCAGCCCCCCCTCAAACATGACAAGGATAAGCACCAGAAAATGGATATGCATTTATTGTGTAAAGCAGAAACTTCAGGAAATCAGTAGATTTTTTTCTTTTCCGAAGCTACAGTATATATATTATCAGGCTGTTTTTTTCACGTGCCCAGCTATGCTGAATTAGGTCAAAACTCTGCAAAATGACCATCTTACAAAGCCTCAGCAGCTCGCTTCAGTCAGCTCACAGCCAGTATTCTAGCGGAGTGTTGATATGGCAGTATGCCCCAGGGTCTTTCGCTCCATCTGCCAATCTTCTTCCAAGATGGGAAAGTCTGTCTGTGCTTTTAGCTGCGAGGCGCTTCTCTTCAGCCTTGATCAAAGAGCTGGTCTTCTTGGGATTATGTTTGTTGCTGTAACTGACTGCTGAGGTTGCTATCTCAGCATCTGCTTTGTGCACCTGAATGTGCTACCACCGGGAGCATCCTTTCTTTGGGCAGCTGCTGAAGATGGGTTTGAATCCTCCACCCAAACATTGTACCCAAGGCGTGTTGCTCTTTCCCCCAAGAGTGAAAATTTGCAGGACTAGGCAAACCATCATAGGCTGCTTCGATCAGGAAGCACACTTGGTAAAAATCAGCCTGCAATGCGTTTTGTGCTACATTAAAAACTTTCCCCTCCATTTATTAAATGTCTGCAGCCATTCAAAGGCAGTAGGACACAAAGGTGGAAAAATACTCAGCCTCTGATTTTAGCAGTGCCGTTCCAAAGCATTAAGCATTGCAGCATTGAATACTAAGCATTGTAGTTCACTGTTCTTACTATTCTTTTAACAGCAGTACTGTGTGCAAGCTCTTTAATCAAAATTATTATTTTTAATGCTACAATATAACCATTGTTGTCATTCGTGAAAGAAAAGAGACAGAGGAAATATGTTATTATCTTCTGATAAAGTTGCCAACTTGCAGTTATTCACTTGCATTAATAAACAGAACAATTAGTTTTAGTCCTTGATTAATTTTCGACTTCCAGGCTCAGATTGGAACCTGCAATTCAATTTTTCAATTAAAAAAATAATAAAAATTTTTAGTTTTAAACAAGTTTTCTTTTGACAGATTTCTCCATTATTTGTGTTTCCTTGTTCTTCTCACAGATAGTCTAATACATTTGTTAAGCATTGTATAATTTCTCCAGAAGCAACCTCTCAGTTGTTGAGCTGTTGAAACCTGTGATTGTCTCAGCTGTACAGTGAGGAGACCGGTGATTGGATGAGAGTGAAATTATTAGTCACGTCATTTCATCTGATTTATAATTCACTTCAGTCAGCCCCTTTGCACTTACAAGCATGTACGAATGACCTAAAAAGACCACTCTGAGCTTGTTGTTGCACTGGAGTTAAAACAGGGATCTGGATTATTCACCATAAAGTGGGAAAGTAAAACTGCTTAAATGGCTGAAATTCATGTTGTCATGCAAGGCTTTTCCTTTCACTCCTACAGGACTTCTTCCTCTGGCAGTGTGTGTCCTTTGTTTCTTCCCTTGGTCAGAGGTGGCACCCCTCAGGACCCCGTCCTTGTTCTTTTTGTGCACTGTGATCTCTTCCTTTCTTAACAGTCACAACCAGTACTTTCTAGAATCATGGAGTAGATTTGGCTTTTTAAATCATCATTGAGCAGGAGTTTTCCTTTCTCTGTATTTCATTTCATTCTTTGTAGTCAAGCTTATCTTCACAGAACATGTTAAAAGACGTTAATTAATTTTCCTGCCATGTGTGCTCATAATGTGTAGGCGTTTTATAACTTTTGTTGCAGAAGGAAGTCAGAGCCACACAGAGGTTATCGATTTTGTGGAATGAAAAGCTGCTTTGGCTGAACATTGACTGTGACAATAATACCCTGCCAATAACCGTCTATGAAAACAATAATAACTGTCAGGAATGGATGCAGCCAGCTTGGAACTGTAATTTTGCCCAGACCCTGTATGAACTGCCTATATTCGAATGTTAATAGGAAAATGAAAGGAAGCAGGGATTCGTCCGCGCACACCAGATGGCTCAACAGCCAAGTAGTTAGTCCAACAGCGAGGACCAGTTTTAGGCTGTGTGACTGTGTCTGCCCTGCAGTGCAGACATGGTCTTGTGCCACAGTGGCAACTTATGGCTGTCAATCATAATTTACTGCTGAGAAGTATGAAAAACTATAGATCTGCAGTCTATAGGAACTAGACTGTACTGCATAGAACTTACATTAAGAGGTTTGAGTCTGAGTAGGCAGAAAAAGAGCAATGGTGTATCAAGTGTTATTTCTTTCCTGGCAGGAGGCACTGCATCCAGACAGAAAGGCTTTTTGGGCTGTATCCGCTCTCTGCAGCTGAATGGCGTCACTCTGGACCTGGAGAAGAGAGCTAAGATCACGCCTGGAGTCCTACCTGGATGCCCAGGCCACTGCAGCAGCTATGGCTCGCTGTGCCAGAACGAGGGTCGCTGTGAGGAAAAAGCCAACGGTTTCTCCTGCGACTGTGGACAGTCGGCCTACAGTGGAGCCTTCTGCCACAAAGGTACAGACACTCACACTGACAGTGGAGACTTTCTGCCACTGATTACACAGATCCATAGACTCAATTCATTGATGTTCTTTGTACAGACTGTTTATAAAAGACTTCTGGGCCTGAAAACCTAATGGCAAACCTGCCTTCTTACATCATTTTTATTTGTATGTACGCCTGTGAGAAAATTGTGCTGTGGACAGTGTTGGTCAAGTTACTTGAGAAAAGTAATCAGTAACTAATTACTGATTACTTCCCCCCAAAAGTAATCCCGTTACTTTACTGATTACTTATTTTCAAAAGTAATTAATTACTTAGTTACTTTTTAAAAACACGATTTACAACCTGAATAGGTAATAAAGCGATAGATCTTTCAGCCCAATTCTACTTTATCTGCATAATCCATCATACAAAATGTAATCAAATGGAAAAGTCTCTTTTTAAAACTTGTTTTATTAGTTTTAATCTTTTAACTTTATGCATCAAGCAAAAATTAAATTATATGCAACATTCACTGACTGGAAGAAATTTATTTAACATTTAAACCTATTTTCTGCACATTCCAGCAGATAAAATAAAATATTTTTTGTGTTTACACTCAGTCTTTCAAATAAATGTCATTGTCATGAGACACTCTCGCAAGAAAATCACGGTTTTAGTAACGCAGTAACGCAGCGTGCTTACGGGAAAGTAACAGTAATCTAATTACCGTTTTTGGAATAGTAATCCCTTACTTTACTCGTTACTCAAAAAAAGTAATCGGATTACACACGTTACTGCCCATCTCTGGCTATGGATCACTTTATTGTCTTAATACCTTCTTTTAAGTCTTATAAAATACAGTATGATAATTATTTCATACATCATGGTATCCATTCGAGTCAAAAAAAGAAAAAGAAGAAGAGAGCAAGATCTGCTTTCGAGCTGGCCTACTTTTTGACTGATATAACACCACTGTAGCAGTGCGCAGTGACCGTCGCCATCTTGGTGCAAGATGGCGACGGTCAAAGTCCTTGACAATTCAAGCTAGGATGTGCACATTCTCTGGCTCTGTGCCTTAATAAATATATTTAAAAGCAAATGCAAGGCTTCCTTCTATATTTAAAAGATTAAACAAAAGTATTAATGTGAACTTTATTCATAACTGCAGACCCAGAAATCTCAATATCCAGCAGCCTCCAGACAAGAACGACTAATATTTTAAGATCACAAGCTGCAGCAGCAAACACCTCAGGGAGCCATGGTCTGATATCATAATGAAATTGAAAGGAAATCTCTAGAGTTGAAATTGGCTCCCTCCATATTTTTGTCCCTACTATTGCCTTGACAATTTCATTTTTTTTGTGCATAAGAGATGAAAGACTAATTCAGCATAAAATTCATTATAGGTTTGTGTCTAAGAAAGGCAGAGTACACTTTTAGATGCAGGATCTTTCATGAGATAAGGAATGAAAAAGAAATATTAGGGTGGTATTTGATCGCTTGAAGATAGTTATTCTGAAACACAGTTTTGTATTTTACAACCCTGCATAATATTCCTGTAATATTGAGAGACCTAGAAAGTGTCTGGTTCAGATCACAGTAAGCTAATTCTGTTCTTTTGGATGTAGTGTTGTCCAACATTTCATCACCTGTCCAAGGGTCGTCTTCTGACTCTCATATGTTTCTCCCACTGAAATGCTACGTCCAGAAAAATAGAATCAGCATTCTGGGATGATTGATATCTTGATTAAGGCTTTAATGGTAACATTTTATAAGTGCAAGAAAATATGTTTAGACACTTTTTCTTTTCTCTTTCTCTGTAATAAATGAACATCTTAGTACTTTATACATTTATATATTCCTGATGCTTTCATCACATTTTATAACACTTGTACCAACTTTTGAATGACTTTGAAAATCAAGAGTGATTTCCTTCTGTCTTAACAGCAGCTTATTATGTTTTTTTATGGCACTTTATTTTGACAGTTCAGTCTGTGCATCCTATAGAGCTGCTCTCCAAATAAAGGAAAAGAGATTTGCTGGCCAATTTCATATATCAGTCACAGGCATTACATTAGTGAAACTCTCAATGGAACAACATCTTCTTACGCTCACTGTTATAGTAAACATGGAAATAGAAGAAAGAAAGAAGAAAAAAGTATAAAACTTTGAATTAAAAGTTTGATTTATGCTTTGTCATTCATACACATAATGTTACACCAGAAAAGATCAGGACCATGTGTTGTCTTGTTACACTATTCAGGTTAATGAGTTTGACCTTTCCTAAAAGCAGTAGGGTAAGGGCAGCTAATATTAGCCTACAATCTGCTATGGCAGCGAACAGGGCACGCAGTGGAGAAACACTATATGCAGTGGAAGAGCTAAATGAAAACACAAACTCTGGTATTGGCAATGCTACGTTGCAACTTCTACTAGAGGACACAAACACACTGTCACGGTGTACAAGGTGGACTCACGCGCTGGACTCCGGGGATTGATGCACACAGGAGAATTAATTAATGAACAATGTCCAATGAGTGTATATACAAAAGGTACAGGGCAGTGCTATCTACAAAGGTGCGGGGCAAAAGGTGAGAAGGGCAGGGCTCCGGGGGAAATCCAGGTGAACACTCTTGTCTCTCTCCAAACAATCCAAACATGAATCCACTCAAACACTCGTCGCTCAGGGAACACCAGGGAAAACAGTCCAGAGGGTCTGACTCTGCACACAAAGAAACACAC